TAAGCGAGTTGCCACTAAGACCTTAACACATTCCCGACGACCCTCCTTTATCCAACTTTTTCGGTCACGTGGACGAGACGCATTTTTGTGGGCACCGCCGCCTCTCTCACAACCCGAACTTGGTTTGTAAGTGAACAAAAATATGATGTCAACAGAAAATGATTTCTGCAATGTTCAATGCGTAAAGATTATCCCTCTTGTTTATAAAGCCGCTAACTTTTGTGTCGTTTGTATGTCTGTTGTGTGTTCTGTATGATGTTCTAAATGTGTATCTATTCGTGTCCGTCCGCAAAATGAAGTGACGTGCGAAGGAAGCATGGGATAAGCAAACCGCTAACAAATCAGGTAGCTTACAGTATTTGAGATATCAATGTTTTTAGCAGGATAGTTGTGAATTAAACTCTCTTAGGGCTATATAAATCACCTGCCTTAGCACACTTCCGTCAATCCATTCCACATGTGGTTAGTGCAGACTGGGGAGGCAAGTGAGTAGAGAGGAGATAGAGGAAGGAAAGCGAAAATCTACCCGTCCATATCATGATTGTGTCGCCTTCTACTGGGATGAAAACACACATTATGTTGCATTACGCAGTCACTTCCCAGAGGGTTTGCTCACAGCGAGAAGGGATCATAGGCGGAGGGATAGAAGCTTGCGCGAGGAAAGGAGGCTCCCGGCGTTTGTTGAGCGGGCGGACTAATCTTGGGGCTGAACGTATAACAGTAGGATCAGAACGATAAATAGTGGGTTTACGAAAAGACAGCATTTATTTATTTCCCGCTGAAGGAAGTGAAAGGCATTTTACACGTCTCGATTACGAGGATTTGCATAACCTATCTGTCCATTCCTAGCGCCTGTAGCAATGCGCCATTATTTCAGTTGGCAGCCCATATGCGCCTGCCACTCGTCCCAGTGAGCGCATCGTTGTTGGCTTGCCATATAGGCGGCCTCGGCTGAATGTGTCAAAAATTGCCGACGAGATTCCACCATGACCTGCGAGTTTCATGGTTACATTCAGCATGCCCCTGAACTACAGGGGTGGCGAAAAGAGATACTTTGCATGGCGCACATCATCAGAACTTTTCGTCCCAAATTCATGAATCAATGTTTTACAGGCGGAAATTCCGTTAGTTGTTCCCCTTGGGAACAGAAGCAGGCCTACTCACTATTGATTGCTCTCGATCGTCTTCAGAATTATGGTATAACGGTTTTTTGCTGCCACCGTACGGAGCTCAACAAGGCTTACCGCTAGCTTGTTTTCACAATGTTCTTTCAATGAATTAAGCTGTTTAATAGCTTTCCAGAAGCATTAGCTGTGATATGCAAAACACATTAGAGGAGTCGTAATGATCTATGTTACCTCGACGACCTCGTTGAGAGCTCGTTACGTGAACATTGTTATTCTGTGGAAAATCTTCTGACTCTCGCTGTAGAAGGCGTCATGTCATGTAGATTTTAAGAAGATTAGATTAGAAGTGCTCTTCAATACTGAGTTGGAGACAATCGATTGTGATATTAGCGAAGTGTGACTAATGCTGTCTGAAATGTGAAGTGTCTCTTTTTTGGCCACCCCTGTATATTCATTTTCTGAAGCAAAAATGAGCTATTACGAAATATTTTACGAGAGACTTTGAAATACCGAAAGTATGATGGTATTCCGGACAAGAGGACTTCAACAGTAACAACTCTTTTTTCATCTCACCCAGTTGCTATTTTCTGCATGCTTGGTGAAAGCATTCAGAAAAAGACAAAATGTCTTCTAAATGTTAGGATGATTCAAGCTTTCTACAGGAGTCCAGATGGCACCACGGCGTCTCGACAACTCATGAGATCTTTCACAACATTTTACTCCACCAACGTAGATTTTTGTCTCACAGTAATTCTTCTGATGTTTTCTGTAGAATTCATATCCGGACTGCATGCGGTCTAATCCACAACATTAAGGTGTTTAAGGTTAGAGGGTTGGTCGCAGTGCATGGCCGTCACTATTGCGAATGAAGATAAAAGTTTGCAGGCGAACTTCATTTAGGAACAAAACTAAAGCAGCAAACCATCATCATACTTGCTGGAGCCCATTTACAAAATTCAAGATCCATAGAGGGTACAACAGTGCTGCGCAGAGCGGCCAGGACAGTCTGAATTCCGCCAACGAAGTTCACCTAGTTGAACAATAACCTTATCTTTCCAGACCCTTCCATCAGCTTAGATATCTATGCAGCACGTGTCAATGAATTTGTCTCGTCAGAAGTGATAACTTAAACTTAACAAAGTATTAGCTAGCCTTCATAACAAAAGTGCCGTCCTGCCCTGGATTAATAGAGCCAATCGTGGATACTAGTGCGTTCCCGTGTTTTGTTCTACCAAGCTATTCGCGAATGCTGTTTTATAACAGCTCATGCGTCGAAAAGCTCTCACGCGGATCCTCGTTATCAGCTCCAGATTAGACGCTCAGCAGCTTCCCCAGCTAATGTATATCTATCCTGTGATGGCGGAAGCGAGAGCTCATAGCGGATCAAGTCGACTGACTTGAATCAAATAGGATGCGTTTACCTGATATTTCGTACTAGGAATGATCATTTGTGATTCTTTGGTCTATTTTGTTCTATTGAAGGAGTGGTCAACGCGATGACTCTCACAGGGGATAAGAGTGGAATGGTCGCCTGCCCAATGTCAATAAAATCGTGAGGTATGAGTGGCAGTGTTACCTTTATTCAAACGGCGTGAAAGGCCGCCCGAATCCAATTCCGGTTGGGCAAACAAAGAACGTGTGGAACTGGTGCAAATAAGAGCGTGCTACATAATGTACCGTTATCGTTATCATCCCATTTTCATTCTGGAGTGCACCTCTTATCAAGCAGCTCGCAACTTCTTATGCTCATCAATCATAACTTCCATGGCTTGCAATCGTCCAATCATTGCTGCCCACTTATCAAATGATGACGTGCGAGGGTAGCCAATTCCAGCGTCGAAGCCAGCGTGATCGCGCTTTCCTTTTATATCGACTTAGCTAATAGAATATGTCCGTAGAGAAATGCGCTTGTTCAGCATCTGGTGACCCTTGAAAATGAGTGTGCATGAGAAAACTCCCTCGAAATCCATGTACTTTTTCAAAATTTTATCCGAAGGGGTCAGAAATTTAAAAGATATCGTACCAATAGTTCGCTTTTGAAGTATAAACGAACCCGCCTGAACAACAGCTTCTCTAAGCTATGAACGCTTTCCATCCTGACTTCGAAATGCTGTTTCGGCGTGCCTCTACTACGAAACTGCGCTATGATGCCTACGTTGGTTGCCCGAAACTTCGCGAATTCAGTGAAGCAAGCTAAATCGTGGGTACAGCGGTGCTCCACGCCGTTTGAAAAAGGAGCACCAGCCGCATCTGTGATGCACCGGCCGTAAGTAGCGTGCAACAGCCGACTTTTAAAATGTGCACGCGCTCAGGAATTGTGGAGGAAAGAAAAGTGACGAGAGCTCTCTCGTTTTCAGGGTGACTTCGATACTTCCACTATGATTTCAAACCATATCACAACTCTGTTTGTATTTAGGGTCTAAAAAACCATCATCAGTGCCGTAATGTTCCAAAAAGATACCAGAAGTCGACCAAATGCTCCTCCTCTGTAAGTGAACTACATAATCGCTTGGTTATATTGGCCACGAAATCGGGAAAGACTATAATTGCTTCTTTTACGATATGATCTCTTTGTATATACTCATAAGTGGTTCTCATATATCCAAAGCATCTCCGATATTATCTTTTATCGGTCCGGAAAGGATCGAAGCATTTTCTTTTGTACAACTTTTACTATGGCTACCCGACCTTGAACGATGTCGGAAGACAGAAAATAAGTAAAGTTCATTTTCGTTTCTCTTGCGTGCCATTGACAACAGTTCCAATAGTACTCCCGATAGCCAGTTCGCAATAATTTGAATCTAAGAAAAATCATCCCCTGCAAATATTCAAGCAAGTAAAAACCGCTTAGAAAAATAAGTCTGAAAGAATCCACATCATCGAAGCGATTCAAAATGCGAATTTTTTTCTTTGATTGCAACAGTACGATGTAATATTTGTAAATTATCTTCTGTATTAAGGATCCCGCTGATTGTTGCGATAGTGCTCTCCACTGCAGATGACTACGACAAACGACAAGCAATCAGGGAAAGTTGGGCTTCGCCGACGAACTCTCTTTCATAAAAGTACGACATTTGTAACTGAGCACGTCTCTCCTTGCTCACGAACTATGGAATTTTCGAAATAGATGCTAGATGGGGAACTGTCCAATAGCCCCTTATCTCCCTGTTCAAATTTACATGTCCTCTGTTTGCAGCCCCATCACTGCGGTACTACAATGCATAGGGGCACTTAGAGGGTGGGGAACATGAGAGCCAAGATAGGACTTTCGCCGATAGCGCGTATTAAAAATTTTAATCCGAATCTTACGGTTCTTGAAATGCCCTCAAATAGCTAGGAGCAAACCTTTTCACTGCCCCCACCGGCTTCAAAATAAGAAATCATTCGTCGTTGCTGACTACCGCTCTGCTCTGACTAGCCTGGAGCAGCTAGAATCTAACTTCTTAGATCGATTAATGTTAAAGCTCCTCAGAGGAAGGAGATATGGCTTGCAATACTGCTACCAACCAGTATTCCAGGCAACGGCGTAGTGCCTACGATCCGTTGAGTGAAACTTGCACATATATCCGCAGCAGACTCTTCAGTAGTCGTCCGTCTAGAATGAAGTTGCTCAATATTAAGGATTCGATGTCTCTTTAATATCCGGCTGACCATGAGTTCTGTATAGACTTCGTCGTTTGGAGTCGATCAAAAAGTGATCCTTTCGGTTATAAACGTGGAGAAAAAAGTCCTTCTCACTGCCCCCCACTATATGCTCTTGTGCTGAACAGCGCAATGCAATCTTTGATTTTTCGTTTATCGTGCACAAAGGCCACGGAGCAGTTTTTTGCGCAAGGACACACCGCCCGATCAGATTGGTTCTTGCACAATGGAATGGAATCAAAAGTGCAAAGCGGATTATGGGTGAAGAAGGAAGGGAAAGTATTTCGTGTGCTTTACTTGGGCTGTGCTGAGACAGCCGGGACCGGACATGATTGGAGAATAGGTGGCAGGAATGACACAGCGGTGGAGACGACCCAACAGCCGCATATCACGAATGAGAAAAAGTTGAAGTTGTTGAAGCGGTTCTGGAAAGGTACAGTAGATTTGTTGCTTACCTAGAAGCAGGCGAATGAGATTTCTGTGTTAGAACTGATAACTTGGTAGTATCCACTCAGGAGATCAGTGAATTTTAACTCGCCATTGGGTATGCTCTTTAGAGGTCTAGACTAGTGACATAACGCCCTTCAAAGAATTCTGCGAAGTGGCTGAATATCAGTTACGCGCTCGTGAAGATAACCCTAATATTTCAATTATTTCAGCGAGGTCGCGTTGTTGTGTTTTTTATTCTGTCAATCCCACATTTGAACGGGCAACTGGATAAAATACTACAAGAACAATACGAGTATCGTGATATCATTGCAACAGACCTGACGGATTCTTATCAAAATCTCTTTCAAAAGGTTGATTTTCGGTAGATAATGCTGAAAAACATTTGTTAGCGAACGAATTGAATCAGGTACACGCATGCATGACCTTCCATTCGAAATATTGCTCATCGGTGCCCTTCTTATTAAAAGTGGATGACGACGTCGCCGTGAACCCTGACAGACTCTTAGGTCATTGGATTTGGGAAGCGGGTTCGCATCGTCGCTTGTACTGCTCCGTGCATAACAACACGGCACCGATTCGCAACCCGTTCAATAAATGGTACGTCAAGTGCTTTCCATTCCGTTGCACTGCTTTTAGGCATCCTTAGAAATGCTGAGTCGATTCGGAACAATAGGACAAAGTAGGGCAAGAAAATCTAGTAAGCGAAAGAAATGGTTCGAGGGAGTGCACATGCAAATACCACATATCTCTTTGTTTAGAAAAACCTTAAGGAGAAGACTAATTTATTAATACAATATAATTTTCTTTGTCACAGTTCCAGATACGTCCGATATCGAAGCCTCCTGTAGCCCTTTCTTCAGAAAATCAGTTCCACATGCAAACATGCGTTTCGCTTGAGAAAATTTACAGCGGGTAGACCGCAAAACTGTCCATTGAAGGATATGGGACCCAACAACCTGAGCTTGCGAGGCATTGTTTATTACAACGTATCATTTTGTTTGCAGAATTTCTTAGGCGTTTTAAAACGTTGGTGTTTGCATTCTGCTACAAGAACATGAGAGTTTTCCATTCGGATGATTGCTTCCATTGTTGCTCGCATAGGAAAGTCCCCTGTGAAACGAGGTTCAATTTTAAGTGCTCGCAGTAGTCTAGGTCGACGCTAGAAGAGCAATCATCCCCCTTTTTAATGTTCGAGGCATTGAAAAACTGTCCGCTAATTTGGTTTTCATGCTGTCGTTTTCCTTCCCCTAGTAATTCTTTCCCAATGTTATGGTTGCGGTAACCACTTGCGTTCTCGTTCTTTGCAAATTCTTTTGGTAGAATCTTCAAATTGCGAAAGGTGATGTTATATGTGCAAGCTATAAAATAGAATGCCAGGAGATCATGTTGAGGTCAACACCCCGGTGTCCGCTAGTGGTCGTAAGCTGAGGTGCCAGAGGTATAAAGCGTGATTTTGTCACTCGCTGCTCGAGACTGTTTCTTTGATTACGTAATTCTGAGCAGGCAAGCGGCATGACAGACATGCAAATTAAATGCATCCTAATATGCAACAAAAGTATACATTATAGTATCCTCTTTATATCTCTATACATACAAGTAATTTGGTCAGGAAGAGACAATCATAAAGATTGCAGGTACGTGCCAAAAAGTGTTTGGCCTTCGAAGTATTATCCAGCCTACTGCAATGGACCGTTCTACGTCATGGGAAATGAGACCGTGAAGGAAATTGCTGAAATGTCTTTGTATTTCACTCCCTTCATAATGGAGGTACTTAGCATTTTAAATTATTACTATGCTCAAAGTGACCTTTAATTTAAGAAGTACTGAAGCTTCACTGTGCGTATGAATTGTTTCATCGAATCAAACGTTGCTTGGTCCCACCGCTGCGAAGTGTGACTGAATGTGTAAAAGTAAATAATGATAGCACAGCTTCACTTTACATCTAGGAGTGCTTCCTTACCTTTCTGACGTCTTACCTTCCTTATCCAATATCATGTGAACGTTAGAACACACGAGTAGTCAGTCTAACGACAATTCAGGATTTGCTTGCCTGTTCCTGTTGTTCTTGTTTGTTGAGTTTTGTGTATTCGAAGGTGGTAATCCCTGAGATGCACATTCACTCGTAGCATTCTCTATGTCTCTGTTACAGCTCAATCTTGAAAGTGTCCACCAGTTTCAGATCCATTTCCGTGGTGAAGCTATCTAGTTGATCGTTTCTGCGAGTGAGGTAGAACATGCCATGCGATTTCCACATCATAGTCACTCCATATGCTCGTTCGTCGTTCTTTTTGGATGTTCTCGCCCTTATTGGCATTTATTCTCGCACACTCGATTTCAGTTCCAATTATAACAGCAACTTTTTGATACCCGTTGAATAGGCCTTTCTCGCTGCCGCACAATATGTTAGGTGACGTGGTGCCTCGTGAAAGAGCAGTAGAAGCTTTGTGTGAACGTGCATATCTGCAACGAATCTTTGGACAACCTTATTGGGAATGCCTTTTGGTGGCCTTCCGAAAGGGAAAGATTTATGCTCTTCGAGGTGCCAGACTCAGTACAAGAGGCAATGCGAATTAGGGCGGAGGGCTCCTTCATCATTTCATGGATATTATATTTTATGGAGTGCATCCATGTTTCCAGATGCTCTTCACGTTCTTCATTTGCGTTTGCCACGAAGGGCTGGAAAAGAACTGGCGGCAATTTCAACCAGTACTTTTCCTTGAATCTAGATTTGCTCGTATTATCAACCTTCTGCCAAAAAGCACAGAGAGCAATAGGAATATACAGGAACGTATAAGGCAGTGAAGATTTTCTCTATGTTCACTGCCCACGACGGAACTGCACGACATTAGTTGTCAAAGTTGAGCTCAGATAGAGATTGCGTGATGGTAGCCCTTCTTTATGATGGCTTCACACAGTTTATTGGCCTCATTTAGCTTGGTCCTCTTTTGAACAAGAACTTAATTTGGGCACGAAAACAAGCGCTCTGAGTAGGATTTGAAGGCAGGCCGTATTATCTAGCGCTCACACTTCCGCCTTAGCAGTTGTGAAAGTCTGGTTTCTTTCTATACTGATATTGTGGGAAGCAATTTTCAGTGACCTGCAAAATGGATCCGCACGGATATCAAGAAGTCAGAAAACAACATTCGATGCCTTTTCTATTCCTGCAGCCTCGTCTGAGCTAAGACTTTTGAGAAATAGATCTGCCATTTACGCGAGTCTCTCAGCGAATGATGCTGCATTCGCAAAACATATCGCGCAGTTGCGGCCAGCCTGCAGTCCCGATCTCCATCTCAAGCCATCCTGCCAATCCCGTCAGTTGCAGAGTGTAGGTTTTTAGAACAGGAGATTCTTGAGATGGGGTCGTTATCAGAATCTATAAAGAAGAGCCTCTGAGCCTTGTTCGTAGGAGGCTGTGGAATCCTTCGATAACGCGCCTAAGCATATGTGATGCATATATGATCATTACTATTAATGTTATTATTGATTCCAATATGATTATTAAATCTTTCACGTGTATCATTGCGAACAGATTGCGTTTCTCAATGTGAGCTTGTAACTAAGGAGCGGAGCAAAAACAAAAACTGGGATAGAAAGCTCAGAAAAAAATGTGCTGTTGGATGTTAGGTTAGGTCATGCTGAAGAATTCGTTAGAAAAAGATTCCAAAATGGTTGCCTATTTGGAATTGTAAAATTTGTAGGTGAGCATATAATCATAAAACGCACTGTACGAGCAAACGGTTTGTTATATAATCTTGTTCCTTTCGCACTGTGCCCCTACCAGCACTCATGCTCAAGTTGTGGTAGAATCTTTGCCACTTTATGCCACTCAACGTATGAGTTTTTATCGTTTGAATTCCAGCTCATTAGCACATACACAAACTATATCTCATGACCTAAAATTTTGTCATATCATAGGCGTAGGTACTGCTAAAACAAAAGCTTGACTCATTCGTAATTCACATTTCCAACGACACTTTCCTATTCTCCACCGACCATCCTAGCCGGTGCCACCACCCTCCCCTTGCAATTCGAAGTACCACTGGTATTTGTCAGAAAAGTACTACGAGCAAACCAATCAATGAGTCGTACTTGAAAGATGACGTATTTGGAAGGTGGGCACACCTTTGATGATGCTTGTACCTCAATATATCAAGTAGTGTAGTATCCAGAGTTTATTGATTTTATATCGAAGCTTCAATGTGCGTCATCTGGCATTTATCCCATCGTACAAGTGCAACATAGCCCATATGATAAGAGCTATGTTGTTGATAGAAGATGGATTTTCCCTAATTTCACCACACATTTGAATATTTTACCTCAAACTCTTTCATTTTCTCTTCAAATGCTAGCGAAAGGTTTTCAACAATTGGCTTGGCTGCATTGGTCATTTTACCAACAGCCATGCGATAAAAGAATGGTTCAAGGATTTCTCCCTCCCTGCAATTGAAACGTTTCAAAAGTTACTAAGAAAGGAAGCATTACCTGTTATATTTTCAAAATTTCACATAAATTTTTAGGACGTTTTCTATACGGGTGTTGTGGCTGGCGCGCTCAACATACCGACCACGAATTGGACCAATAGGATAACACATCTTCTTGAGGTAATGCCTTCTAAATCCATTAGTAAAAAGAATCTAGCGATAAAATGCCGGCTACGCTTGGAAAGGACTACAAGACTCATGGATGTTTTGAAGAATAATTCTCGCAGATACAAAATGTGTTCCTGCGTACCTGCATCTGCCAATTATGTACTGCGAAATGATTTGATATTGATTTCATGCACATACAGCACTTTTTTGGTAGAACACATTGAACATAAGGAGTAGGCTGTCCAAAATAATCTCTCGTCATCAGTTGTATTCTAATTGTGATCTGGCTTTGCTGTTGTGCAGTTAAGCCGAATTGGACTGATAGTTCGACAAAGTTTTTAGTTACGGGATCAATATCAGACTGAAGGCGAGAATTTCGAATCAAATTCGAATAGCGGTGCTCGAGAGCTTTCAAATAAGACATTACAGGGCCGTTTAAATCGATTTGAATATATGTACTGCTTGAAAAGTATTTGGATGGATACTTGCCACGTATAGCGATAGTAGTAGAAATTGTCTTCACGCCATTCCTTAAATTTTCTTCACCGAAATCCGATATTGGAAATCCGATATATCATTTTTCGGATTACGCATATAACTTTTAGTTTGATTCAAGACAGTACTTCACAACCTACCATGTCTACACGATAGGTAGCATCGTAACTTTCTGATATAAGAGCATGAGCAGTTTAAGCGCCTGTTCTGCTTGTAGTTTCAGTGCATGCTCTGCTTGTGATTCTTCAGAACGTCAGGTCAACCCTAATTCGTTGTTAGCTCTTTGACTATTTGTTTACGACCGCCCGCACTCATGGGTGATTTTGATACGAGCCCCTCCTATGTGAGAACAGCTTGTTCGGACAACAGTGTTGCACATCGAACTATTTATTTCTATGAATCATCAAAAATGTAAACTTTAAGCAAAATCGCACGACAGATATTCATCGGCTGCGTCGCAAACACGAAAAAATGAGAGCCTCAAGAGATAATCCGCGTGTCGTGCCAAAGTTAGCGCGGGGGCAACAGATTGAATGAGAAGCATAATACCATTGAAACCGAATATTGACAGGTATTACCTGATGAGAAACGCATTGAGCAATCACAGAAAAAATTACGCTCTTAGGATTGTAAATACGAAATACTTCCACGTTCCCGTTGTCCCTTGCAACACAATTTTTACAGGCCCCGCCGCCAGCCCCTTCCTATAACCTTCCTTCATAGCTTCTGCGCCGAAGAAATGATTTGAAAATTTAAATTATTCTCTCTCCCAACCATGTAAAGAATTTCGAAAGTTAATTTAATAAAAATTTTACGTTTTTACTGTTTTTTCTTGCAAAGCGCCTTTTGACCTTCACACGGCCTCATAACTTCTCAAAGTTATTCATTTGAAAGCTGTAAACATCCTTCTATTTTATAAAGCGCTAAACTTTGTGTCGGTTGGTCTCTGTATGTGTGATGTAATGATGTTCCATCCGCCAAACTGAGTGATGAGCAAAGAGAGCTCATGAGATAGAACAAACCGCTACAAATCCGACGGGTAGGCTACAGGCACTTAGGATATCCAATGGTTGTAGCAGGATAGTTTGATACACTTACTTCCAGTGCTAATATAGACACATCTTAGCACACTTCCGTCATTCCGCATGGTGCTTGCGTGGCAGCTGAGGCCATGAGAGAGAAGGGATGAGAGGAAGGACGAAAAATCTACCGCACTAGACATGATTGTGTCCCTGTCTACGGTTTGAAACACCAGTTCGTTGCATCCAGGCGTTCCACTTCCCACGAGGTGTTGGGTCACAGAGGAAGGACCCATTAGCGGAGGATAGAAGCTTTGCGCAGGAAAAGATGTCCCGGCTGCGGTTGACGGGACTAAATGGTAGTACATAAGACACAGGAGATTCAAAGCTTCTAACGACCCGACGCAAGTTCCTGAAAGATCGTAAGTTCAAAAAATTAGGCTCCGCCGTTTTGCTTTTGGGGTTCGCTCGCTATGTTTTGGTCCACCCGGACTTTTTTACCTTCAAACGCACCATAACTTCCTTAAAAGCTCATTCGTGAAGCTGAAACACCTATAATAAACTACAAGACAAGCCTTTCCAACGAAGCACCGGCAACGTCCCGATAAGATCAGTAATTCAAACCATTATCGCGTTTTTTACTTTTTAGTTTGAGGGATATTCTTCAAGCCAATTTTCTCGAAAAACGCGAGCTTTTTAGGTTTGCACGGCCGCCGAACTTTCGAACCTTCTGAATTTTACGTTTGAATTTGTAGGATGTACTTATGAAAGCTCCGACATTGCTCTTGCACACATGCGCCTTGTCGTTTGTGCTCGCCATCCTCGGCGCCCTTCTAGATTCGCTTGATTCATTCGAAAGCTCATTCAAAGGGAAGGTTGTTTTATAGAAGCCTAAGTACCGGAGTGCATCTTACGAACTAACGGCTGCTATTATCCGAATTACCCTGATATGAATCCCCAGCCGTCGGCCAACCGAGGGGTACGAACCCCTCGCCTTCTCCAAGCCAAGTGACGTACGGACCCTCCCCTGCCCGGCTCTTGTTACTCGTAACAGACGTAGGGTTGACCCTTCTAGAAGACAGGTTCCCCGCTTCTTAGCCGGCCTGCATAACCGGCTACCTTGTCGTTCTAGCGCCCCTTATCAGCCCTTATCAGTTGTTATCCGTTTCTGTCACCGTTACATCTCTTCTCGTACACCCCTACACCATATGTCGGAGCCAACGCTTTAATGCTGCTGGAACACATGAAATAGATCCCTAGAATCTGCATTCTAACACCTCTTATCAGCCCTTATTAGTTTTTATCAGTTTCGGCCGCCCGCCAGACATGTTCCTGTCCCACCCCTACATTACATGATTGTGCCAGCCATTGAATACTGTTGGGAGTCTGGTCATGAAGTCCGTGACATTTGCATTCTAACGCTCCTTATCGGCACTTATCACTTATTATGAATATGTTGCTTGCCAAATATCTCCCACCTTCCATGCCATATCTTAAAACCAACCGCTGACGGACGCTGACCATGAATTTAGTGACAGATAGACGAACGTACACAAACCCAAGGCCGACATACTTACAACAAGCAAATCATATATAGTAGGGATAATCATTGTATATGCAATTGCCCTTTCTTTCTTTGACCTTTTAAAATGGTTTCTTGAAAAGATAATGTACATTACGTTCTCATCGCTGGAATTCCAGCCTAGGTCGACCGAACCCACACTGTGTGGCGACGATGGTTCTCCGTTGACCGTGGCACACTTTCCTCTTCCGTCACCACAAGAGATGCGAGAGGGATTTCTAAAGTTAGCATACTCCAGATGCCTTTTCACCAAGAAAACTCTATTTGAATTTGTAGATTAAATTTTGTATGTTTTTTCCATCGCAGCAACATTCCTCTCCATGCAAAGATTCAGAACTTCTATCCGGTATTTATTATGAACTGTCAACGTCTTGGCGTGCATTTATGATCATGATATAATAAACAATAATGATGAACATGAATGAATGAATGTAAATGTTAATGAAGAGCATAATGATACTTCTACCTAAAAATATCCCAAAAACTTCCATCGGAAGATGTTTTCGAAAAAAGGACTACGGTTGAATTGTGATAGATATAAATGTTGTGACTACCAGCACAAAAATTCAATCTGAGAGAGCTACAATTTTTCATTTTCGTGTTTTGGCGCTCTGTCAGCGCATAAAATCAGACATTCATCACATGTTCCTCCGCTGCATTTTATTTTTATCCACCCAATCCCTTTCAAATAATTATCACTTTCGGTTCCTCAGGACACTGCAGAAGCAGAAGCGCTGTCAGACTTCCGTAAGAGGAAAATCCTAGCAAAAGAAACGCAAGAATTTTCGTCACGCCGGAATTTCAATATACATATGAGGTCACTAGGGTCACTTCAATGCGAACAATTTCGTCGAGGATCTTAGAAGATATGTTACTATGAAACCCTGATTACTATTACCCTCATTACCGAGATAAACGCCGAATATGAGGAAACAATATATCATCATCAAGCCAGGTTCGAAAATCAAAACTTTACCAAAAGGAAATGCCCCAATGGACGCAGGCTACGTGTTTTCCAAAATGCTCATCATAGCCCATGTCTGGAGTATAACCTGGACACTTTTGTGAAAGAACGCATATATAAAAACGAACCATATTTCTCAGAAAGTTTCGCCCGTCGAGCAATGTGGGAACACTATTTTAAGTGATATTTTTAGGTCACTGACCACATTGCTGATCTTTTTCTTCTCTATAAATGTTCGCTACAAAGCAACAAACCGACTTGATGAAGAAAAATCAAGAGAAGGAAAAACACAAATCAAAGTGAAAGCGCCCTCACATCGCTCTACTTGGCGAATTTTATTAGAAAAATGGCTGGCGAATTTTATTAGAAAAATGGCTCAGATACTCTTCATAAAACTGTCACAAAAGTATATTGCTATTTTTTTGCCATGAAATTCATGGAGTTGTTATTCTCAAGGGTATAGTTGGATATTTCAAAACTGAATTATATGTGTCGCATTCTCCCAATAGTCTCTTTTGAAAAAATGTTCAGATGCATGTTTTCGGGAAATTGACAGATGGAAGTGTTTGATATCCGGACAGTGTCCCATTCAGTTGGATCGTAATCAATTTTTCCATTAAAACGCTGCATATGAAACTGTCGCTGGAAAATGATAGAAGTTCTGGAAGTTGCAGAAGAGTGGTTGTTCCACGGCTTGTCTTCGCCTAATTAATAGGAATTTGCTTTCTAGAAGTACGTGGTTTTATTTTTCTCATTTGCATGAGGATTTTATGTTTTCTCCCGGTTAGAAATGCAACGGTAAATAACGCATGAAACATGTATTTCGATCGTCTTTTTCTACGTTTATTTTGCTTTTTTGCTTTTTTTTTTGTGAGTGGGACAGCAATCTGTAAGAGGAGAGCGAATATCGATCTTTTTTCAAATAAAGAAGGGTAATTTAAATTAAAAAAAGGGGATTTACAATAAAAAAGGAATAATTTACTTGATGTGTTAGGCACGCCAAACCTTCCGCACTCTTTATATTTAATAGTTCTATTAACGTTCTGAGGAGTCGTGTTAAGCAGCAACGTCATTCGTATTGAGCAGTCGGTTAGCTCTCTGAGATGTTTCTCATGATCGTAGCCCGCGGATCCACAAATAATCATACATGGATGTTAGGTTATAGTGTAGGCTCTTATTCGATTTGTTGTTTCATAAACACCGTCTTGTCGCACCACAAAACCGTACTGGATTAAGTCTCAGAGAATCATCCTCTGTGCGTACCCCCTTTGAAACGTTTCTCAAATTATTTGATAGTAAGCAGCTTGATAAAACGATTTATTCTCTGTTTAAGCTCTCTAAATAGTGTCATTGTAGCATGTCCGTCTCATGTATCATTTCGATTGTATAAGACGTAATTTCGCGTTGAGCCATTGGCGTTTTAGAACTAAATACAGTTGAAGAAACGATATCCATAGAATGAAGATACCGATGAATAGATTTTCACGGAGAACACAAAAATGCTGAAAGCAATTGTGAGCAAAAAAATAAAAAATTAATGACGTTTGTAAGTGTAATCATCAAAAAGTAATTGTCAGTCCGATTGACGAATCTTAATCAAATCTCAAAACTTTGTGAGGAACAATGGAGGAGCACAATTGAATAGTATACTATCGATCGGTTATCCGGAGAAGTGTGGAGTGGGCGTGTTCGCCTGGAGTGACGCGCACTAGACTAGAAACTATGTGGATAAATTGCTTTGGAAACATACATTGCGGATATCAGCAAAGCACCGGTGGCAACAGTTATCCACGCAACTCCTATCAAGGGCATGTAACATCGCGTTAGGTGACACGCGTCTCCTAACATTTCGATATCGCCGTATTTAAAAAATTACTACTGTTCTGGAGTGGTTCGAGTCCTTGTTGAATAGATGTTCAGTATTTGTGCTAGTGTTTACTAAAGTGCGTATTGCGTTTTCGCATAAATCTTTCATTGTTCGGTTTAAAATAAATTCATTAGCCTCTGAAATAGTTTCATTGAGAAGTGGAGTGAATAAATTGAGGAGTAATCCTGACTTAACAGGATGGTTTTGAATTAGCAAATCCTAACCAGGATTGGTAGTAGTCTAGGCTCAAAATAATGCTCATGCTTTGAGACCCTAAAGTAGACGCTAGTGCAAAGAGGGTAGTAAGGAAGACCAGCGCAGGCACAGTCTCTGCTACTAGTGGGGCATTGAGCTACTGGTTCAACCGCAGCTGCGAAAGCGATGCAAACTGAGGAAGTCAACCTTATTTTAAGCTTCCAGTCAGTTTCAATGAGGACCCTCACAACATTAAGTGGAGGTGCGTCTGGGCGCTATAACCAGAATTGTGGCTGCTATCTGGATACGGCAGATGCTCCATGGATTTTTTGATGAAACTGCACACATCAGCCGGTTACGACTGAAAAGACGTCTGATCATCAGCGGAAGTTTTTATCTGCTCCCATTTGAACACGACTTCCTGTTGTCGGTTACCGGTATGGAGGAACTGTGTTTACTGGGAGAACAAAACGCGACACGCATGATGGCTGTCTCGCAGCCAGGCCTCTCCAGCTCAACCGAGCCTACACGCCCACTGTTGAAAGGTTAAAGGATGCAGCATTTGTTATTTATCAATCTTTTTCTGGGATGCATTCTGCCGCATTTGCTTCTATTTGTGCATTCATAGTGGCACTTGAATGCGATCTGGCCTACACATAGCTACATATTAGCCACGAATTACCGTAACAACATGAACTGGCATGCAGTATTTGTACAAGTAAAAAAGACAAGTGGAAAACAAAAAATTCATCCGAGGGGAGGGGTTTATGAACGAATCACCACATTACCCTTTCAATTAGCCGCTATCGGCTTTAAAAAAAGATGCGAGGTTTCCTAGGGGATGAGGTGACCGCGACGTGCTGATAAACGGACTCAAGTTTCAGAGGTTGTAAAGGTTTTATCGAATTCATTGATTTCATAATGTTAGCATTAGGTGCGCACAGCGTAAACTAGTAATTGAGTGGGGAAATTGAGGTAATCATGTTTAAGCCATGAAAACCGTCGCTGTCTCCCGGATTCGATATGTCTCTTTTTGAAATGCAGTGTCGCACAACCCATACAAGGCGAACTCGACCGTGAATACTTTCTCATCAGTGAAAAAGATCGGCAGTACAAAATTAAGACTACGCTCCGTTCGGCTCCAATTTCTTCGCAGTTTATTCGCCGCGTTGGGGAGCTACGATTATCCACGCTCAACTATTATACCTTCGCCACGGGATGTCTTCACACGATTATTGCAAGAAGTGCGTCTGATCACTTACATGGGAGACTTACGATGGATTTAATGTCTAGAGTCCATTGCAGCTTCGTGCGTATTTTCTCAATATTGTTCTCGGGAACAACACAAACTAAGCTTCCATGACCAACCCGCACGTTTCGCTTTTAAAGCGAGTCCCGCCTGAGGCGAAAGTTTTGTTCACAACCCCAGCATTCTTGTGAAATCTTCCCAAGCAGCTAATTTCTTCAACTTGTCAGCTCAATTGAGGTACTACTTTTTCTTTAATAGCGCAGAAGTAGTGAAACCACTATCCCCTTACGTTTTCAGTAACGATGTGGTCTGAAAAATACGCCAGCCAGTCTAGCACCCGGAGCTGGCCTCTTTCCCAAATGGGATATGTATAGGGAACCCTCTTGGTCTAGCTGCAAAACAAGTGTTTTGTGACACTATGTATCGTGACACTGGCTTCTCCAAAAGGGTATTAGTCGGGATTCACGCACCTCATTATAATCCTGATAGTGCACTTAACATGCTAACAAGCAATCTCCAATTTTCGCTCATTTTGAAACCGCCAGGCAATTGATGAGCCTCCACCGAAATGCCTCTTTGAGTGCACTTGCGAGTCACGACGAAGGTCCCTCCATTAGCAACGAGATCCACCTGAATAGCGGAAGATGAGCCTCCTCCCACCAGTAGAGGTTGTCCAAGAAAGGAACCACAAGCGCTTACTTCTATCTTAAGTTCCACAACGCCTCTGTTTGGGTTTAAGAATCCATCTAGTGATTTTAGTTTCAACCGGGAATAAGAAGTTGCCAGTCTCGGCTGGCGCTACATCCACAATGAGGCTTTTCGTCTTCTCTATGTCTGTCCTCACTCGATGAGTGGAACGCTGAGTGATGTTATAAATGGAAAATATTAAGCGCGAACACGATAGCAGACCAAAGAAATTTTGAAGAACAGTAACATCTATTATTTTGTTGTGTCAAACACATCAGCGATTGAACGACGACCCTCAATTCATGTGCGAGCTTATTATCATCAGTATCTTTCTCTTTCCCCAAACAACCGAGCGCACCGACCGGGCTACGTTTGATCGCTATTAAAAGGCCCAGCCAAACATAAGGACAACATCTCTGCATTGGTGCCGCTATAAGGAAAATGCTTGGGTTGTAAGAGGAAAACCATAATAGTAACGAAGTCAAAAGTATCAATAAGGTATAAACACTCTAGGAAAGCAATGATTGACAATTCACCCCGGATGTCCACATACTTCTGGTACCACTGTATTGAAATATATATATTAACATGTAACATACAGCAATCAGCGAATGTGTCGGAATTACCACATCGAAAAAAAACACGCCTGGCAACGACTAAAGCCGGAACCTGAAGCTAGCATCATAACACACTACATCCACATTACAGCATTCTATACTCCTGTCCGAACATATATTATTCTACCTAATCGACAAACAATCTTTGTCCCAAACAAACACACGATTTCATATTATTTTAAGCCGTCAAATCGACTGACGGCAACAACTTTGATCAAGACACCACTTAACAATAAGGCCTGATCAAGTGATACTGCTGCTGAAATAAAATTTAACAAGAATTGTAAATCGAGACTATCCACCATCCCGTTGTAATACAGCTTGGTAGCGGGAGGGGGGGAAAGGAAAATGAGGTAAAGTGAAATTTAAATACCGGAACTACGGCAAAACGAGCCATGAATTTTGTTTTTAACAACCGACCAGCTCAAGAAATTTCAGCGACTCAATCCTTTCGATTTATTTCCGACTACACCGATCAAAGTTTGCATCGGAGGGTGCTCTTATATTATCGAAGTTTCGCAGAGGTACTTTGAAAGGTCATGGAAGACCAACCTTTCAGTCGCATAACGAGACCCGAACTGCAGTATTCACATCATCAATATTGCCACAATTCGTATGGGAAAAGATCTAACCGTCTCCTGCTGGTCTCTTGAAGAAGCCACATGTATAACAAGAAATTGTCAAATTATTGCCCCTCTCAAGAAAAAAAAGAGAAAAGAAAGTCGCTTTATACTTACCAGGAGCATTAGGCGGCCAACTTTAAACGTCTTTTCATGATATATCGGGTCACCATGCCGAAACCAACAGAAGCCAGTTGATTTTCCTGAACGCTCTCCTAGAAGCCCCAAAAAGGGGTCCCTAAGTTCTTCGTGTTAACAACTCTTGCATTCGAGTTGACGTTCCAAACTTCGCTGCAAAACTTGAGTGAGCGTGAAAAAATTAGCCACCAATCATGATAAGACGCGTTAGTAACACTTACGAAAAAACATTGACCTGAAAACTGGTGCAAGAGCACGACACCAACCAGCTTCCACTATGGGTCCCACCTTTCTCACCACTTTTCCACCTTTTAACATCAGGTCCAATTTACGCGTTATGACCGTCCTAATCATAATAGGTGGCTAATTATCCACGCGCCCCCCCCCCACTCCCCCCCCCCCCCCCCCCCCCCCCCCCCCCCCCCACCCCCCCCCCCACCCCCCCCCCCCCCCCCCCCCCCCCCCCCCCCCCCCCCCCCTCCCCCCCCCCCCCCCCCCCCCCCCCCCCCCCCCCCCCCCCCCCCCCCCCCCCCCCCCCCCCCCCCCCCCCCCCACCCCCCTCACCTCAATTGCGCGAATTTGGAACGTCCCATCGAATATGCAAAAATTGCCAACACGAGCACCGAACTAGACACCCATTCGATATTACAGGCCGTTCAAGATAAAAATTAACCAGGTCTCGTGTTCCCAGGCATTGCCCCTATACCATGCAAACAGACGCAGTTTCACCAAAAAGCTGACAAGCCCTGAACAGAACCTCTCTCTGATCAAATCAATCTATGTCACATCGCGTAAACGTTTCCTTCTCTCCTCTAAAGCTTAAAATTTTACTCCACCAAGTCCACTGCTGGGGACGCCCACGAAAGAATGGGACGTAGAGCCGTCTTCAAACGATCAAGCTCACACATTCATGAGCGTGCTTCCCTTTCTGTTTGAGACCCGCGAAAAAATCAAGATAAAAAATAAAAGAAAAAACTATATAAAAACCAAAGAAAAAAACAAATTTTCTATACCTTGTAAAATTGAGAGATCAACGATGAACAACTTTTGAACCCGATAACAACCTCGAGTATCGCCCTTGGGCGAAACACTATCTACGTCAATAAAGCTACTCTGAAAGCCCGCTCAGAAGGTCACAAACGCAGATCCGTACAAAACCAACCTTACCTATGTGACATCTTGCTTTGAAAGGTATGGTTTGCATAGAAATACAGTAAAAACGCACTTCGCAACTGACATCTCTTAATAACATCTGCCTTTTAACGTTCTTTAATCTACTAATGGCAAATTTTTAGAGAAAGCCTTGGAAGCCTTGACATTTTTTCCACGCCTAACATATCAGAGTATATCGGAGGATGAGCTGGTACAAAAGAATTCTTTCCAACTTATGGTTCAGAAGCAGGTCCAATAAGCTATGATGGCGGGCTGTTTCGTGATCTCCTCACAGTTTTAGAACATCCATTGATGTGCTAACATTCACACTTGTTATATAGGAGTTGATTTTAACTGTAAAACATACGCCTAATCTATTGAGCAAAACCATTTCCTCTCTCTTTCAAATTATCAAGTGCCAGCTATTGGTCATAACCGCTGTCTCCATAAATGTTTGAACATTCATCCCCCTCACGTCGGTCAGACATTCGCTCACTGCCTACATAACAATCCGTCCATTATGCGAGAGATAGTCAACAAGCTTTCAGGTCCAATTTTCTTGGGTCAACAAGTTTTCCGATTCTAACTGTTTGGGTCTGGGTCTTACGGTCTAGGTTCGTGTTTAGATCAGAGAGGCAACTACTTTGGCCCGCCCGGGAATAACCTATTGTAGTTGCGTTGCCCAGACCGACCACGCTCTCCTTCGTTACCAACTTACGCGGTACAAGGCCGACCTATTATTCTCATTTATATGTAGGTAGTGGTGATTTTTTTGAGGAGCTACTCATTCAGGTTCATTTTCGGGGGTCGCCAATGCTGACAAATTCATTATTTCCCACGAACATATTCTGCGTAGTAAAGTCGCTAATCTAGGCGTGTGTTGAATTTTTCTAGCAGTTAATTTGTATTTATACGCACGCCGATTGTCTCAGGTGTCTTAGGAGCAGTAGTAAATTAAATAAATGAATAAATAATAAGTGACAGTTAATTTATGCTTTATAACTGAGCGAGGGTAGAAGTATATGTAGAATAATTGCACTACCACCAATACCTCTTCGCCCATGATCTCAAATCACGATATCACACCCATAACGTCGCTTTTCTAATAGAGGTCTTGGGCAAAGCCGATATCAAAAAAGAATGGCTAAGGTAGATTAACTTCGTTTTGCTATTGTTAAAGAATCGGATAGAACGAGGATTACATAGCTGTAGCAGAAAGCACACGCCTTGCAAAACCTGGTTCATTACCACTCTTTGAAGGTGCCACTTGCACCAGATAGCCGAGATTTTCTTTCGAGCAATTTCTGAAAATCTTCAATACGGATGTTGCAGCCTTTCATCACATCAACACGTTTAATTCAGGAGAACGTGCGATTGAAATCTCCGCAATAAAATGTGAGAATGCGCCATTGCTTTTAATTGGCAACGCAAAGAAGCCTATCGATTGATATCTGAGATCCTCCGCGAGATTGTCGTGCACCTAAGGGACAATGACAAGAATTTGGAAGTTGGATAAGTTTCATTTACCTGCTTGTTTTCCAAGGGATACCACAGCGTGAACAAGAAACATGGTCAAGGTCGCTATTTCAGCGAGTAGCCAACCGGTGCAAAAAACGTGTTCAACAACCAAACATTTTCAAGCAAGAGAGAATGTGGTCCCTTATTTTGCATTGTACTTCCAAATTGAATCTCCTTTATGTGAAGTAAACGAAGTTAATGCGATTTTATGTCATTTCATGTTGTTTTGTTGTTAAGACAGCAAATAGCTTTGTTTTGTCTTCCATTCTGAATAGCATCTAGTACAAAATATGTTCGCCATCCTACTATATGAATGGCTTTCTTCTTAGCACATAGTTGTTATCTACGAAACTGCAAGCCGTTCCTTAAAGAGTGCTTTTGTGACGTCGTCCTAGCTTGAAATTTCTCAATCGTGCAAATAATGCTAGAAAAATTGACAAACATGGAAGTCGAAATACTGTAGTCGGGTTAGTGTAGTGAATGTCAGATGCTGTAGCAGACATCTACTGGCGTATGGCGCATAACTGAGCGTCTTTATTTGTGTGAACGCTAGCTGCCACAATTCCGAGAGAATCACCGCCCCCGAAGAGCCAGAAATTTCTTACAAAGGAGGAAAGAGTGAGAGCTCCATGACGCCGTCTTACTAATAATACCATGAGACACGTAGCTGAAGCCTATGAAGGTTTCTTCAGCGGTCTTCCAATACAGCTTTTTTGTGTGAAAACAATTAAATTGCGTCGCCTATGTGATTGGTTGCGTTAACAACTGGAACAGATATAATGTAATCGGTCATCAGAATATACGAAAGTATCCGCAACTGCTGTATATCCTTTGAAGCCCATCTCAACGTATTGATAGGAAGCGAAACACCAACACTGCCGCGCTTTCTGATTACTGAGGCTTCCACCTCTACTACAGCTCTGAAAAGGGCCTGACGAATAAGAACCATGCCAATTCACCACTATCGCGTAATTTCTAGTTCATTTTCGAGCACAACAGCTCGTCATACGATCCTTAAATGTGAACCTTGCGTACCTAGTGCATACATGAGTCATATCCTCCATTAGCTAAGTGAATATCAATTGCAATTCATCCACAGGGGGTAGCAGGTAAAACGGTTCCCTGTCGGATCTCCTTTATATGTATACCTTCTTTCAAATATGATTCAAATCAACTTTGAGACTTCCGAGCAAGTCTAGAGATTTGCCCCGTCGTTAGAAAGCTGCTACCACGACAGGCTGGTACGGGACATGAAAGTAGGGGGGCCAGCTAGAATATTTGTCAACAAGCAAGAAAAGCAATTAAGAACCCAGGTATCTAGACTCTCTCTTCTCTCCTGTTCTACTTTTAAACAAGTATACCGTCAACATCAAGTCCATTAGAGAGAATCCGAACACTGAAGTAAGGCTAATGGCGCAAAGAATATGTAATGATAGCAGCAACATCCATGTCTCTATTATTCTTTCTACATGCTAGCGGAAGGCATGTCGGTTAAAGCGAGGAACCTATGCCTCTCATGCCAGCTTGACTATGTGGAATTGTCACGACGAGTAGGGGTGATACGAGGTGCTTTCGAGCCTAATTAAATGTTTGGCTTTCATCACCGACTGGAATGGAATATGGAACGGAATTTGGTGTAAACAAACAAAAAACTAGTCGCTCCCGTTTTTGAGATTATCGTACGCGTTTTGTACTCTCATGATACAAGCAATCTGCAATTCTTTGTCCGAAAGACAGTGTGTGTTGGTGAGAGCTATCACAAGATCGCTATCTACCCTTGGAACGGAAAGTGCAAAAAGCGCTTTTTAAAATTGC